AGGGAGAGGGATAGAGAGCTAGAAACCAATGGGAGAGAAACATCAACCAGCTGCCTCCTGCACACCCCCCACCGGGGATGTGCCCACAACCAATGTACATGGCCCTGACTGGAATCGAACCTGGGACCTTTCAGTCCGCAGACCGATGCTCCACCGCTGAGCCAAACCGGTTTCGGCTCCGTTAATTTTCTTTAATGATCCTCCTCGCCTCCCCCCCGCCAGGAGGAGTGTAACTTGTCATTTTTGTGGCTGATTTGGGGACGGTGGTGTCTGTTGCCTAGAAGCCCTCTCTCCCCACACTCCGTGCACATAGTAGGTGTGCAATGCGCACAGTTTTCAGGGAGCAAGTACGTGAGTGGTGAGCGCGCCAAACAGGTTTGCTTATTTTTACGATTCTCGTCACGAGAATCCATTCCAGGTGGAAGCACTCCGCACAGACCTGGGATGTGGGACTCAAAAAAAAAAAAAAAAAAAAATGGCAGCGGTTAGGTCTGCAAATTCTTTTTTGCTTATTTATTTATTTATTTTAATAAAAAGAATGCCCGGATCTTAAGTACAATGAGTCGTGACCAACAGATACACCCGTGTGACTAAGCGTTCCAATCAAGACGGAGAACATTTCCATCGCCCCAGGACGTGGCTCTTCCCCTCTGCCCCAGCAATGCCCTCCTGCTGCTCCCCGAGGCCCCCCTCTCTCCTTCCCCCCCCCCCCCCGACAACTCTGCTGTTTTTCTCACGGGAGAGTAGTGGTGCCCATTCTAGAACCTCATATAAACCAAGTGATACAGTTGTTTTAAAGGTCGCTACTACGGTCCCTTGCTGTGTGGCTTTGGACAAGTGAGTACATTTCTCTGAACCATGTTCCTGCCTTCTTCTCAGGGCTCTTTTTTTAATTTTTAAAATAAAAATTCAGAGAGGAAGGGAGAGGGAGAGATGGAAATATCAATGATGATAGAGAATCATGGATCGGCTGCCTCCTGCATGCCCCACCCTGGGGATCAAGCCCATAACTCAGGCACGTGCCCTTGACCAGAATCGAACCCAGGACTCTTCAGTCCACAGGCCGACTCTCTACCCACTGAGCCAAACCAGGCGGAGCTTTCTCGGGGCTCTGGAGGGAAACAGAAAGTGAGAGTTAACCAAGGACCTAAGTGGCCTGCAACGCACGCAGGTTTAAAGGCTTTTTCCTCTACCCTCTCTCAAGGGAGTCAGGCACGGATCCAGGGAAGATGTCCTGAAGGCTTTTAGCCCCTCCACACAGATAACCCCGTATACATCCTATCACACAGGATAAGTCCCACATGGCCCCCTCAGCCCCTTGGCCACCCCAAGCTCTTCCCAAAGAGAAATTCTGGGGCTCACTGGTAGCCAAGGCCCCCTTCCCCCCGGGGCTCACCCTAAGTTTATGCTGTGGTGCGGTCAGGTTCCTGGCAGGAAGCAGGTGGCCACTCAGGGTTTAAGTGGCAGCACTTACATATATTTTTTTATTATTGATTTGAGAAAGTAGCATTGATCTGTTGTTCCACCTGTTTATGCATTCATTGGACGATCCTTGCATGTGCCCTGCCCCGGGATTGAACCCTCAACCAACCCAGCTACTCCGCCAGGGCTAAGTGGCAGCACTTACGAAGGAAGGGGTGTCTTAGCGGGAGGGCCAGAGTGTAGAACTCCACAAAGTATGGTGGGTTATCAGGGGACCAGCCTCAGGGAAAGCCAAGCCATGGCTACCCTTTGGACAGAAAGTTAGAGTTTGAGGGGGGTGGGGGGGAGCTAGGAGCGCCCTGGGGACCGGAACTCAGCCCCTGCAAGAAGGGCAGGGATGCAGAGAGGTCGGAAAATAAACACACTCCCACCTCTCGCCTGCCACCCTCGGATTTCCGGTCAGTGCCTCTGAGAGGCAGAACCCAGCCCAGAGGCGAGGGCAGGGGCCCCCCGTGGGTGGAGGCCAGTCTCCCGGGGCCCTGGGTGGGGGCGCGTGGAGAATTACCAGCACTCCTCCCGCAGAACTTTCTAGGCACTTTTTCCATGCAGGGTTGAGGCTGGACACAAGGGGGCGACAATGCTCTAAGAGACCCATGAGAAGGATGCTTCCAAAGCACTGGCCATTAGGCCAGAACTTGAGCTCCGAGGGGAGCGTCTGCCGGTTTCTCCCCGGCAGTGTTTCCTCCCCTTGGGAAGTCGTCCCTGTGAACCTGAGAAGCTCTGGGCTTTCCATCCGTTACCATCTGTAGAGGGGACAAATGACTATGTACTGTTCCTCCCAGAAAAACCGGGTGTTTGCTATCTTTTTCAAAGTATATTTTATTTATATAGCCCTAACCAGTTTGGCTCAATGGATAGAGCGGACATAAGGGCCTCAGGTTCGATTCCGGTCAAGGGCATGTACCTCAATTGCAGGCACATCCCCAGTGGGAGGTGTGCAAGAGGCAGCTGATCTATGTTTCTCTCTCATTGATGTTTCTAGCTCTCTATCCCACTCCCTTCTTCTCTGTAAAAAATCAATAAAATGTTTTTTAAGTATATATATATAAATGTTTTTAAAGTATATATATTTATAAAAAACTAATTATATATATGTATATATACACATATATAGGTGTGTGTATATATATACACATACATATATATGTGTGTATATATATATAATTGGTTTTTTACAGAGAGGAAGGGAGAGGGAGTTAGAAACATCGATGAGAGAGACATCGATCAGCTGCCTCCTGCATACCCCCCTACTGGGGATGTGCCCGCAACAGAGGTACATGCCCTTGACCGGAATCAAACCTGGGACCCTTCAGTCTGCAGGCCGAAGCTCTATCCACTGAGCCAGACCAATCAGGGCATATGTTTGTTATTCTATTTCCATTAGAGCTGTGATTCTCAAACTGTGGCCCCTGGTGGGGGTTTGGGGGCACTGCACTGCCATTGTAACAGGGCCTACAGGTGATTCTCATGCTCCTTCAAGTTTGGGAACTACTCAACTAGTGAAAAAAATCTCAAAAATGCCAAAATCGAATTGTCTCAGTGGATAGAGTGTCCGCCTGCGGACTGAAAGGTCCCAGGTTCGATTCCGGTCAAGGGCATGTACCTTGGTTTCGGGCACATCCCCAGTAGGGGGTGTGCAAGAGGCAGCTCTCTCTCATCAATATTTCTAATTTTCTATCCCTCTCTCTTCCTCTCTGTAAAAAATCAAAATACATTTCAAAAAAATCTTAATGCCTCAAACATAAAAAAATAAATAGATGTCATTCGATAGCATCCTGTCAGTTATCTTGGCTACAAAAGAAAAAAAATCAGAATAACTCAATCCCTATCCCACACATGTAGTTACCCCTGGAGTGTGTTAAGTCAGGGTAGAGGTTCCTGGGGGTGGGCAATGACTAGGAGAGGGCACAGGAAAGCTTTGTAGGGGGCTTGTGATAATTCTCTATCTGGAAGCTGGCTGCGCGGATGGGTTGTGAATCCAGCAGACTATATAGTTTATGAGTGCATTTCTCTGCTGTATGTTAAACACCAATAAAAAGTTAAATATGCCGAAGCCGGTTTGGCTCAGTGGTAGAGCGTCGGTCTGCGGACTGAAAGGTCCCAGGTTCAATTCCGGTCTGGGGCATGTACATTGGTTGCGGGAACACCCCCGATGGGGGGTGTGTAGGAGGCAGCTGGTCGATGCTTCTCTCATCGACGTTTCTAGCTATCTCTCTCCCTTTCTCTCTGTAAAAAATCAATAAAATATATTTTTTTTAAAAGTTAAATATTTGCTCAAAGTTAGATATTGAGTGGAGAAATTCCTGATGACATTTGAGCTGGTCCAGCTGGGTCCGTCCTAGACTATCCAGTTCCAGGACCTAGCAATGTTTGTTTGTGCTGGGTGGAGCTGTGTTTCTGTCTCTTGCCACCCAGAGTCCTCAAACCCTAACTCACAGGCAACTTTTGATGAAATATGAAAACATTTCTTGCCTTATTTCAATTTTGTGACACAGGTGGAGGCTTCCATGGTTTTATACATCCCTACCTCCCTGATCACAATTATTGGTCTAGGGCAGGGGTCGGCAAACTCATTAGTCAACAGAGCCAAATATCAACAGCACAACAATTGAAATGTCTTTTGAGAGCCAAATTTTTAAATTTTCTTCTAATGCCACTTCTTCAACATAGACTGGCCCAGGCCGTGGTATTTTGTGGAAGAGCCACACTCAAGGGGCCAAAGAGCCGCAGTTTGCCAACCAGGGGTCTAGGATGGTGCTTCACCCAAGTGGAGCCAATCACAATAGACCATCCAACAAGTCAGTTTGATTGATCTGTAGATGGGCCAATCACACTCTTTCCCTGGGATTTTTTCCTTGGGGCCCAAGGCTGGTTGATGTGAGCTTTGCAGCTGCTGGGTGTAATGTTTCTGTGGTGTGGAGAATGCTGACCCCAGAAAAAAATGGTGACTGGCAGGTAAGAGAAGGTATAATGGCAGTGTCCTGGTGGCCCTCAAGTTCTTGGTTCAATGCTCCTGAAGCCCAGAGGCATTTACTTGTTTATTTGAGGGTCAACTGAGTTCTCTTTTGGCCTAAGTTAGAGCAAGCTTGGTTTCTGTCACTTGTATACAATAAAGACCTACGTAATAACGGTTGGTCATCAAACACCGTAATCCATGCACACACACACACACACCCCTCGTTCACTCAGGCCTCTAGACACACTCAATCCATGACACGCCACCTCAGTGCACATGTATTTATTTCTGAATGATATAAAAGAATAAACTTAAAAAAACACCCCAAACCCAGCACCCTAATGGCTTCCCCCAAACAATGTGACCCCTCTTCCCACCCTGATAAATAGAGACTTCTGTCTGTCGGTCCACCCTCCCACCACCATAACCCTCTCTGCTATAGACATACTCTGGGTATATATTACTCTACTCGGCAATAGACATCTCCCGAAAATAGAATTCCAGCCCTGCCACCTGCCTCTCCTTTTGGCCCCATGTCTCTGGGACCCCTCCCCCCCCCACTTCAGACCACCCGCCACTGCAGTATGCTGGTGTCCTTGCCCCCCGTGGTCAGGGCCATGCTGTCATCCCACAGGAAGGCCACGTTTGTCACGTGGCTGCTGTGTCCACCGTATTTGTGGCTGTGGGCCTGTGAGAGGGAAAAAAGGAGGTGAAAGGTCAAAGGGGGCGGTGCCACAAGCCCTCCCAGGCTAACCCTCTTCTCTCTGCTTAATAATACCCTCCCCCTAAGAACCAGGCGACGGATCTGATTCCTTCAACAATCCAACAGTGGGCACAACCATGAGAGTGCCCGTGGGGGAGGCTGTTCTCTATGACCAAATATGAGACACAGGCAGACGCCATGTCTGGACTTTAATCCAAACAAACCAAGTGTAGAAGGCCATTTGGGGGAAAATTAGGAAAATCTGGATACAGAGCTAATACAGGGTATTAGATCATATTAAAAATTAATGTTAACCAGTGGGTATGAGCATGGATTTGTGAATGTGCACAAATAATCTTTATTTTTGAGCTATTAATGCTAATTTGAGAGACAGAAAGGTCATATATGGTTTTTCTTTAAAAAAAAACAAAAAAAAACCTGAACATAAACTGCACCTATGGATGAGGACAATGGGGGATGGGGAGGGGGCAGAGGGTTGGGTGGGAACCTGGTGGAGGGGGGAAGAAATGAGGAACCTTTGTAATAATATGAACAATAAAGATTGATAAAAAATAAATAAATAAATAAATAAAGAAGAGAAAGAAGAAAAAGAATGCCAAATATAGTAACAGCTGAACATGGGTAATAGGTACGGAAGGAACTGCTGCATTTTTTTTTTTTAACTGCACTCTTATCTACTTTTTTTTTAAACAAATTTTTATTGGTTTCAGAGAGGAAGGGAGAGGGAGAGAGAGAGAGAAACATCAATGATGAGAATCATCCATTGGCTGCCTCCTTCACGCCCCTTACTCGGGATCGAGCCCACAAGCCAGGCATGTGCCACTGACTGGAATTGAACCTGGGACTTTTCAGTCCACAGGCCGATGCTCCATCCACTGAGCCAAACTGGCTAGGGTTCTACTTTTATGTCTGCAAATTTCATAATAAAATGCTAAAGCAAATTTCACCTGTTAGAACAGGGATTGGCAAAATTAACACCAAGTTTTATGGTAGACACAGGTTATTTGCTGGTGACCTATGGATGAGTTAAATATATTCTCAAGAGTTGCTGACATTTACAAATTGAAGGAATTCACATTAAAATTTTGATTTTCAGCCGGTGTGGCTCCGTGGTGAACACTGACCTGTGAACCAGGAGGTCACAGTTCAATTCCCGGTCAGGGCACCTGCCACGGTTGTGGGCTCGATCCCCCGTGGGGGACAGGAGGCAATCAATCCATTATGCTCTTACATTGATGTTTCCATCTCTCCTCCCTCTTCCTTTCTCTATAAATCAACAAAAACATATTTTTAAAAAATCAATGGGAAAAAATATCCTAAGGTGAGGATTTAAAAAAAAAAAAAAAAAAAAGAATGTCAGCTGAAACCAGTTTGGCTCAGTGGATAGAGCATCAGCCTGCGGACTGAAGGGTCCCAGGTTCAATTCTGGACAAGGGCATGTATCTTGGTTGCGGGCACATTGCCAGTAGGGGACATGCAAGAGGCAGCTGATCAATGACTCTCATCGATATTTCTAACTCTCTATCTCTCTCCCTTCCTCTCTGTAAGAAAATCAATAAAATATATATTTTTTAAAAAGAATGTCAGCCAAAACCGTTTTGGCTCAGTGGTAGAGCGTCGGTCTGAGGACTGAAAGGTCCCAGGTTCAATTCCGGTCAGGGGCATGTGTGTTGGTTGTGGGCACATCCCCGGTTGGGGGTGTGCAGTTGTGGGCACATCCCCGGTTGGGGGTGTGCAGGAAGGCAGCTGGCCGATGTTTCTCTCTCATGGACATTTCTAGCTCTCTATCTCTCTCCCTTCCTCTCTGTAAAAAAATCAATAAAATATATTAAAAAAAAAAAAAAGTCAGATCCGTGACCTATTCTGACTCGTTTACTGCTGTATCTATCCCCAGTTCCCAGGCACAGAGCAGGTGCTCAGTAAACATTTGTTGAGTTAATAACGATAAAAGATCTCAAAACTGCAGATGCTCAGAGATTTAGCACTCCGGACTCTGAAATCCATCAACCATCAGGTTAAGAAAGGCCCTTGGGATCAAGCCCACTACCCTTCTTACGCAGCTGGGGAAACTGAGGCCCAGGGAGGGCTGGTGGTGGACCACGGCTGCCTCTATCTTGCCCCCATTGTTGCTTGTTACCTAAGGTGACCAGATCGTCCCGATTTTTAACAATTTTTTGGGGAAAAAATCGGGATTTTTTTTAAAACGCCGTGGGATGCGGGAAAACTTGTTAAAAATCGGGACTGTCCCGCCAAAAGCGGGACGATCTGGTCACCTTATAATATCTCTACCCTGCCAGCCCCCCAGTGGGACTCACGCGAGGCTGACAACAGGGGTAGCTGAACAGGTGGACTTTGCCGAAGTCATCAGCTGAAGCCAGCAGTTTCCCGTCGTGGGAGCGCGCCACGGCGTTGATGTCGGTGCCATCCGCTCCCTCAGACCAAATCCCTGTGTGCAGGATGGGGGGGTTTGATGGTAAGATGTCAGCAGGAGCCAGGTATCCCCCCCCAAGGGGTCCCGGCCCCAGTCTCCACCCCTGCCTTTCACTTAGCCTGTCTCAAGCCAGGGATGGGAATCAGAATGATCTTTCGGAAATGTGGATCTGACCCTGTCCCCCCAGCGCTCAAAATCTTTGTGGCTCCCTGGTGGCCTCAGGAGAAAGCCCAGGCTTCTGACCATGATCCCCAAGCTCTGCCTGGCCTGGTCCCCCCACTGCTCCAGCCTTGACCTCACCAGTGCTCCCTTAGAAACTCTGCGATGGTTTAGCCTTCTTGCATTTTCCCACATTCCAAGCTCTGTGTCACCTCTGGGCTCCTGTACATGCTATTATGCCCTTCGCCTAGAGCAGGCAGGTCAAACTCGTGGCCCGCGGGCCACATGCCTCATTTATTTGGCCCCCCTTAGCCTCTGAGTTTGACATGATTGGCCTGGAGACGTCTTCACTGTGCTGGGATATCTCATCCTCCATATTGGATGCCCCTTCCTCCAGGAAGTCCTCCCTGACTCCATCACAGACAGGACAGACACCACCCCTTGGCTTCCTTGTCCCTGCCCAGTCTACTTTGGGTTGTCCAGAGACAGGTCAGTCTCCCCCACCGGACTATAAACAACATGATACTCAGGCTGGGGCTACTGTAGTCACCACCGCGTCCCACAGAGGTGCTCAGAAAGTAGTTAACTATATTAATTAGTTAACGCGTTCATTAACTAACTAATTAATTAATAAATGCATTAACTACATTAATGCCTGAATAAAGGAGTGGCTGGGGCCTGGGCAGTATAATTCTCTCTGGACCAGGTGCCACCACCCATGTGGTCTCATTATTGCATTCCAGGTCCAGGCGGCCTCAGCAGTCATATCCCCCCCCCTCCCTTCGTAGAACACAGACACTGCCCATCGGTGTAAACGAGTGAGTTTCCTGCCCTGGCGATAACCAACAGAAAAAGGCTGTGGAAGCCACCAGACAGGGGTGTTTCTCCAAACGCTTGTGTACCATTGCAGAACTTACCGAACACCCCAAAGCCCAGGACACAGGTAGCGGTGGCCCATTCCCTGCTCCTCACGGTCTCTGCACTGGTGATCTGCTTACAGGCAGCCGCGTCCCCTGGGGCGGGACATGGGGGGAGGGGTTCAGAGCTGAAGGAACGACTGACCGAACCCACCCGTTTCACAGATGGGCACTGAGGCCCCAGACAGGAGGCCAGGGTCCTGGGCCTTCTTCCCCCTCTCTGGTCTGGCCACGGGGGCTGGATTCTGGATCCCAACACCCCCAAGAAGACCTGAGCAGGGGCATGTGCTTAGAAACCTATACCCTACCCATTCAACCAGAAAGAGGATTTGGGGGAAAAGTGGAGTCTACCGGGAAGGCAATCAGAAAGCAGGAGACCAACCAATCAGAACAGCCCCTCACCACCACAGTGAGAGGAGAGAGGCTTACGAAGCCCAGGCCTCTCTCCCCTCCCAGAACTCAGGGGAGGCCATGCGAACCCCACAGCGCAAAGGAGGAGGCTGACGGAGGGAGGAGCGCCTCAGAGAACTCACAGTACAGAATCTCATAGTCCCCGGAGTTGGTGACAAAGCAGCTGCTGTCCCGGGCCCAGTCCAGGTGGGTGATGAAACTGGAGTGGCCCTGCGGGGAGGCGAGGGGCGGGGTCAGAGCTGGAGGGGGCGGGGTCAGGACAGGAAGGATGGCCGGCCAAATACAGAGGCACAGTGAGCACACAAAGGGGCCAGAGGGAGGAAACACAGGGCTTTGGGGCGTGGGGGCGGGGCCAGACCCCCAGTGGGCGGGCCCAAACTCCCGTGGGGGCGGGGCCAGACAAAAAGGGCTTCAAACACAAGGGGAGTTCAGACGTGTGTGGGCAGAGCTGGACACAGAGGGGTGGGCTGTGAATGCAGGGGGCTCAGGACGTGAGGGCGGGGCTACAAGGGGAGGGGGCTCAGAAGGTGGGGGGGCAGGGCTACACAAAGGGGCGGGCTTAGACCACGATGGGGGAGGGGGTGGATGTGTGGGCGGGGCTAAGGCTCCTGGAGGTGATCAGGGCGGTCGGTTGAAGGCTGAGCCTGTGCTCCCTTGAGGTAGAAAATCGGTTAATCCTGCACCCCCTAGACGGGGTGGCGGCGCGGGCCGGGGCCACTGCCCACTCACCGAGCACTTGCCCAGGCGGCTGACCTTGCGGCCGCCCTGGTCCACCGTGTACACGTACACCAAGTTGTCGTGGGAGCCCACGGCCAGGTACGCCCCGTCTGGGGGAGGGGGAGGGGGCTATGAGGAGGCACCCCGGCCCCGCCCCCTCCTCGCTCAGATTCAGCCCCGCCCACTCCCCCAGATTCCCAGCTCCATCCCAGCTGCAGTCCTAGGCCTTGCAGCCAGGCCCGGCCACGCAGGCCCACCACCCCGTGCCCCTCAGTCCCCAGGCCTTGCCGTGCCTCGCCAAGGCCCAGGCCCTGCCCCTCACCTGGAGAGAAGCTGACCACGGAGATCTGTTCATTGCCGTCTGTGTGGATAGCCACCAGGTCACTGGTCTCCGTGTCCAGCAGCAACCATCTTAAAGGAGAAGGCATGGGAGTGGAGGAGGAGGAGGAGGAGGAGGAGGAGGGTGAGCTGATCTGGTAGGAGGGGGGCCATCTGTGGGGCCTGAGGGGCTCCAGAGAGATGTGGGAGGGAGGCTGACTTCGGGTGGATGTTGGGAGGTCACGTCTTGCTTGGTAAACAGTTGGTACCTAACTAATGTGCTCGGGGGACTCTGAGACAGCGGGGAGCGGGGACCAAGGGACGGTTCGGGGAGAGGAGAGCGGAGAAGCCCCTCCCCAAACGCCCAACGCAGCTTTACCTGCCGGTCACGGTGCCCACAGCCAAGATGGAGCCACCGGGGTGGAAGCCAGCAGAGCGGGCAGGGTCCTGGGAGGGAGAAGAGGCGGCTCAGAGCTGCTCCCGGCCATCGGCCACTCCCCGGCCTCAGAGCCAGGTGGCAGCCAGGCGACGAGGCTCTCCCCGCCCTCTGCTGCCCTCCAGGGCCCACGGCCTCAGGCTCGCTGGGGTCGTTCCCCTTTCCTCCCACAAGCCACCTCGAGCAGGAAGCATCCTTCCTGTCCCTGTGGCTCCTTTTCACCCGCTCTGAATTCCCACAGCTTGACTCATCCAAGATGATGTACTTGGGTAATTTTCTAGAGTGAGGTGACGGAGACAAAGGTATCTATGTTTCTAAGAGTTTTGATGTAACTTGGTCGGTGCAGCTCAGTGATTGAGCATCGATCTATGAACCAGGAGATCACAGTTCAATTCTCGCTCAGGGCACACGCCTGGGTTTTGGACTCAATCACCCGTGAGGGGTTTGCAGGAGGAGCCAATGGATAATCCTCTCATCATTGATGTTTCTCTCTCTCTCCCTTTCTCTCTGAAATCAATTTTTAAAAAAACTTTTTTTTTTTTTTTTTAAAAAGGAGTTTTGATATACACCGAGTGGCCAGGTTATTATGATCTCTGAACACATAATAATCTGGCCACTCAGTAAATATATTAGAGACCCAGTGCATGAATTCGTGCAGGGGTCGGGTCCGGCCAGCCTGGCCGGGGGGAGGGGACATGGGCGGTTGGCCAGCCTGCCTGCTGGTCTAACTCCTGGTTGAGGGGACAATTTGCATGTCAGCCTTTTATTATAGAGGGTATACACTGAGTGGCCAGATTATTATGTGTTCAGAGATCATAATAATCTGGCCACTCAGGGTATAATACCAATTTACTTTCTGTAAAAGCATACCAACGTACCAGGTGTGTCTGAATGACTGTTTCCCCACATCGTTATCTAACACCCAGCTCTGGGTATTATCATTTTTTAAAGTTTTGGGGCATTGGGTTGGTTCACAGGCAATAGAGAGCACCATGGAATCAGACCTGGGTTCCAAGTGGCTCTGATACCTCCTAGTTATAGAACACAAATAAATGTCCCTCGGTTGTCTCATCTGGTAAATGGAGGTCAATACACACTTTCCAGGATTGTTTTTTCTTTTCTTTTTTTAATATATTTTTATTGATTTTTAACAGAGAGAAAGGGAGAGAGATAGAGAGCTAGAAACATCGATGAGAGAGAAACATCGACCAGCTGCCTCCTGCACACCCCCTACCGGGGATGTGCCTGCAACCAAGGTACATGCCCTTGACCGGAATCGAACCCGGGACCCTTCAGTCCGCAGACCGACGCTCTACCACTGAGCCAAACCGGCTTCGGCACTTTCCAGGATTGTTATAAGCAAGGTATAAAGTTCTTAGGCTGGTTAGCTGGTAAGACGGCCCACGGGAAGCACTCAGAATTTGCCAAAACTGGTTTGGCTCAGTGGATAGAGCATCGGCCTGCGGACTAAAGGGTCCCAGATTCGATTCCGGTCAAGGGCATGTACCTTGGTTGCAGGCATATCCCCAGTAGGGGGTGTGCAAGAGGCAGCTGATCGATGATTCTCCCTCATCGATGTTTCTAACTCTCTATCCCTCTCTCTTCCTCTCTGTAAAAAATCAATCTATATCTATATATCTATACATATATGTATATGTATATGTATATCTATCTATCTATCTATCTATCTATCTATCTATCTATGATCAGCTATAATTTTAAATACACTGCAACTCTGGCCCGGTTGCTCACTTGGTCAGTCCAGGAACATACAGGACTCAACCAATGAATGCATAAATGGGTGGAGCATGTTTCCCTCTCCCTCTCTCAAATCAATAAGTAAAATTTAAAAATAAATTATTTTTTAAAATTATAATTACACTGATGATGGGTGAGTGATTTTACTTTTCCGAGCCTGTTTCTGAGTGGGGATTTCTCACCCTTGTGAAGATTGAGAGGGTGGAGTTAAAAAGATGATGAGCAGGAAGTGTTGAGCCGATTGGAATAACTGGAGGGAGCTCATTACAATCTGCGGATTTTTAGTCTCAGATTCAGACCCCTGAATAAGACTCTGGGTGGGGCTTGGGATTCTGTGTTGTTAACAATTCCCAGGTGGTTCTGATGCCCTGGCAAGCTGGAGAACTGCTGTGCTCCACTGGGGCCTGGCATATAGTAGCTGCTCAATTAGGCAGCTGGGATGATTATTTTATGTGCCCTAACAATTTTCAGGGCACACCATCCCTGATTCATAGAAGTTCCAATGCCATCACGTGTTCCAGAACCAGAGGTAACCCTGTACTCCTGCAGCAAAGCCTCAAAGGGTGGTGTGAGGGATGTGATGAAATGGCCCATACTGCACAGCCAGGGGAGCTAAAAAACTACACTGCCCAGGATCCCTTGCAGCTATGGTTCTGCTGTGATATGGGTTTCACAGTAAGTTGCACTTTTTTTTGTTGTTGTTAACCCTCACCCAAGGATATTTTTCCCATTGACTTTTAGAGAGAGTGGAAGAGAGGGAGATGGGAGAGAGAGAAAGAGATCAATTGGTTGCCTCCTGCATGCGTCCTGACGGGGAATCAAACCTGCAACCCTAGGACGTGCCCTTGTCAAGGAATCGAACCCTCAACCCTTTGATGAGCAGGTCAGTGCTCTAACCACTGAGCACACCAGCCAGAGCACTGGGTTGCACTTCTGTGGGTTCTGGTAGAAAGAGGCAGAAGCACCCCCTTTGCCACTCCCACGGTCCAGTTGGGGCGTGAAAGCAATGACATTTGCTATGCGAGTGAGTAATTACTGGCCTTGACAGGCCAGGACAAAGAGTGTCCATTTTTGGCCAGTGAAAACATACCCACCGGTGGGTCACTCCAGAGCAGGGGTGGGGAACCTTCCCTCTGCCAGGGGCCATTTGGATATTTATAACATCCAACGCGGGCGAAACAAAATTAACAACTTAAACATTAGCCTGCTATATTTGGTCAGACATTTCATTAACGCACCCCTTGAGCGTGGGCAGGGCCAGACGCGATGACTTCACAGGCCGTTTCCGGCTCCCGGGCGGGAGTGCCCACCCCTGCCCCAGCGTCAGTCCTACAGAACCGCCTGCAGCAATGACGCTCTCTGTCGCACTGTCCAGTGTGGCAGCCCCGAGCCCCGTGTGCAATGTAGCTAATGCAACCAAGAACTGAATTTTTAAAACTGTTTACACTTTAAAGTTAATTTAAGTGTGAACAGCCGCTTGTTTTGGACAGTGTAGCTCTACAGCCAACACTGGCAGCAACCACAGCCTGCTGGTTCCTGGACTGCGGCTAAAGCGACAGCAGTTTCTTGAACTCAGCGGCTCCCAACTCCCCACCCTCCTGACTGTGGCAGGACAGCAGGCCCCTGGAAGGTCGGTTCCATGGTGTTCTGGGCGTCCTTCCAGTTGAGGGCCCTCCCCTCCAGCCCTTCCGAGCCAGTTTGTAAGGGCTAGAGTTTATAAGGGCGTGTTAACTCCTCTGGGCTTAAAAAGACCGAGCATGGCCGAAACCGGTTTGGCTCAGTGGATAGAGCGTCGGTCTGTGGACTAAAAGGTCCCGGGTTCGATTCCGGTCAAGGGCATGTACCTTGGTTGCAGGCACATCCCCAGTAGGGGGTGTGCAAGAGGCAGCCTATCGATGTTCATCTCTCATCGATGTTTCTGGCTCTCTATCCCTCTCTCTTCCTCTCTGTAAAAAATCAATAAAATATATTTTAAAAAAAAAAGACCGAGCATGGCCCTAACCGGTGTGGCTCAGTGGATAGAACGTCGGCCTGTGGACTGAAGGGTCCCAGGTTCGATTCTGGTCAAGGGCATGTACCTTGGTTGTGGGCACATCCTCAGTAGAGGGTATGCAGGAGGCAGCTGATTGATGTTTCTAACTCTCTCTCTCCTGCTCCCTTCCTCTCTGTAAAAAAAATCAATAAAATATATAAGATAAGAGATCAACCGAAGGACTTGTATACATGCATATAAGTAAAGCCAATGGACACAAAACTCTGGGGAGGGAGGGGATGTATGGGAGGGGGGACAATGTTAAAATATGTACACAGATAATAATTTAATAAAAATAAATAAATAAATAAATAAATAAATAAATAAATAAGAGGGGAAAAAACAACAACAGACCAAACATGGCTTCCACCTGATGCCCTGCATCCTGACCCCCTGGAAAGGGGTGTGTAGTGCCCTGTGCCCTTACCTCGATGGTCCTGCTCCACAGGGGCTGGTGGGACTCCACGCTCCACAGATGCACCAGTTTATCATGCCCGCACGTCACAAACTGGGCCCCGCCGGGGTGTGTGGCCAGGCCCCACACCTCCTCCACGTGGCCCTGGTGAAATGGGAGACAGGAGATGGGAGACCACACATCCTGACCTTTCCCCAAAAAGTGGTGCGAGAAGGAGGAGCTGGACTAGCCCAGCAACACACCTGCCCACACTTCCCTAGTGTCCCCGAAGGAGGCTGTGAGAGGGCAGGCCTGTGCCAGGGTGTGGCTCTAGGCAAATGCCCGCCTCCCCCTTCTACTTTCCAGGCTGCACCATGGGAGACGAGAGAACGGACGGGTAGGAGCCTGACTCTGGGAGTCAGCTGGCACCCAGAAGGCTGTGGGGTCCCGTGTACACCGCCTGAGGGGGGGGGGTCTGACTTTCAGCTCTCCCCTACTGACTGTGGCAGGCCCCTGGGCAGGGGACTTCTCCATGGGGCCACAGTTTGACCTTCTGCAAAATGGGGCTAATCATAGTGCTGGGACTCAAATCATGGATGGCAGGAGAATGAGGCTAGAGGAGAGCGATTACAAAGTGGAAGTGGCTATTACTATTATGTACAACGCAGACTATTAATATGTTGTTAATAATAAGTCACTGCCTTGGCCAGGTGCTCTGTCGGCTTGAGCATCGTCCCAACAAGCCAAGGCTGCGGGTTTGATCCCCAATCAAGGCACAAACATGAATTAACCAAGAATGCATACACAACGGAACAACTAATCAATGCTTCTCTCTCTGTGTCTTCCTCTCTCTCCTCTCTCTCAAATTGAAAGCATGATAATGTTACTAACATTAATAATTAATATAATGATAATAACTAATATCAATATAATAATAATGCTAATAATTAATCTAATTAGAATATAATAAATCACGTAAAATATTGATGACATCATTAGGGGTCTCCAAGGTTTAGTCTGGAGACACTTAGAAAATCCGTCGCCTTTGTTCCCCATCTCCTTCTATGGAAACTAGAGCCAAAGAAGGGATCTAAATGCAACAGCCGTGGTCAGCAAACTCCTTAGTCAACAGAGCCAAATAGCAACAGGACAGCGATCGGAATTTCTTTGGAGAGCCACATTTTTTAAACTTAAACTCCTTCTAACGCCACTTCTTCAACATAGACTCGCCCAGGCCGTGGTATTTCGTGCAAGAGCCACACTCAAGGGGCCAAAGAGCCGCATGTGGCTCGCGAGCCGCAGTTTGCCGACCACGGAGCGAGCTAGCCTGTCATCGGGGGAAAGGCTTGGGGCGGGTGAAGGAAGGGGCCGTGAACAAGGAGCAATCTTGGCCAAGACTTTTTGAGCACTTGCTCTGGGCCAGGCCCCGTTCTGCCTGCTGTGTGTGACCTGACCCTCGGAACCATCACAAAACCCCGAGGCCAGCTGTTCCTCCCCCGGCTCAGGGAGCCACAGAGAGGTCGCTCACTAGCCTCATATCACACAGCTGACGATTATATCCCAGGCAGTCACATCCTGAACTCATATTCCTGACGGCCACACGCTGCCACCTCTAGGGAAGCGGGGTTGCTGAGTGGAGGTGGAAGGGTGACGGGAAGGTTTCCGCGCACAAGAAGGGAAGGAATGGGCATTTATTTGAGCAGCAGGAAGAAGAGCAGGCAGAGCTGAAACCGGTGTGGCTCTGTGGATAGAGCATCGGCCTGCGGACTGAAGGGTCCCAGGTTCGAATCCGGTCAAGGGCATGTACCCTGGTTGTGGGCACATCCCCAGTAGGGGGTGTGCAAGAGGCAGCTGATCAATGATTCTCTTTCATCAATGTTTCTAGCTCTCTATCCCTCTCTCCTCCCCTTCCTCCTCTCTGTAAAAAATCAATTAAAAAAAAAAAAAGCAGGCCGACTCCCGAGAGCCCTCCCGATCCTTGGACCTGGGCTCCTGGAAGGTCCTCGGCCCAAGGTGTGTGCGCCTGTGTGCCGCCTGCCCTGGCGCTTACCAGCAGGAGGGGACACTACCCTCATCAGAGGAGCCGGGCAGCTCAGCGGGAACGGGGTTTGGGGACCCTCTGCTGGTTGGTTGCTGGATCGTGGGGAGTCTGGGGAGCGGTCCTGGGTCCGGGGTGGGTTATGGAGCAGGAGCAGGGCGGGGAAGGAACATGGTGTGTGCCAGGCCAGAGGAAAGGGGTGGGGCAGGAGGTGAGGACAGGGAAGAGCAGAGAGACGGTGGGCCAGGGGCGCGGGCAGGTGCAGGGAGAGAGCTCACCTGGACGAGCAGCGAGAAGCCCGTGTGCACGGAGCCCTGCAGGATGCAGTTGCGGGTGGTCCCCACGTACAGCGTGTCTCCCCGGCCCTCGGCCACGGTGCGCACGGGGCCGAAGTCCTCGGGCACCTGGGCAGCGAACGCGGAGAAGGGAGGACGGAGAGAGGGTGGGGCTGAGGAGAGGAAGGGTCTCCTCACTTTCGGAGGAGCCTCTCCCCCCCCTCACCTCTACTTCCTGCAGCTTGCTGTAGTCAGGACCCCAGAAGACCACCCTGCGGTCGCGGCCGCCTCCGGACACCAGCGTCCCGTCCCGCAGGGCGCAGAGCCCAAACACGCCTCCGTCGTGGGCGCCCGGCACCGTCTGCGTGATGCGGTTTCCCCCTGTGGGGCAGGCAGGGGCGGGGTGAGCGTGGGGAAGCGTCCCCTGTGCGGACCCCCGAAAGCACCTCACACTCTCCGTCCTACACCCAGCCATTCACCGCCTTTCCTTCTACCCACCCTTCCACTCACCTGCTCAAATACCCTGCCGTCCGCCCATTCAACCCTCCCATCCACCTTGCCATCCGCCCATTCAACCCTCCCAGCCACCCTGCCATCCACCCATCCAACCTTCCCAGCCACCCAGCCGCCCTTTGATACATCCACCTGCACCTATTCGCCCACTCACCTATCTATTGGTCTGTCCATCCATCTCTCATCTCGCATCCATTCATTCACTCTTTTTTATCCAAGTAGTCATTCACCAATCAATCCATCCTTCTAGCCAACCATCCACCCTTTCCCATCTATCCATTACACTCATCTACCCACTTAGAGGTCAATCTAACCACGCATTTATTCATTCGTTGACCTATTCAGTCAATAATGATTTAATTAACATTTACTCTGGGCCTCGCCATTGGTTAGAACAACAAGCTTTCAGTAACCAGCCCACTTCCTAGAACAATCCATTCTTCATAACACAATAATCCACTGCGAGATAACCAATCACTCATTCATTCATTCATTCATTCACTTTATAGGTCCACTGAAAAAACTTACTCATTCACTAATACAGTCATACATTATAGGGACAACCATTCATTTTTTTAGTTGTCTATTCATCCAATATTAAGTAGGACAACATTCATTCACGCAATTCTTTCATTGGCTAGAACAACCCATTCATTCATTCATTCATTCATTCATTCATTGCTGTAGGACAAACCACTTTTCCATCTATTCATCCATCCAGCCACAACTAGGTTACCGTAGCCATTTGTTAATGGTCCAAACTTGATCCCTAATATAGGGGATTTGCTGAGGACAAGGGTGGGAAGTAAGTAAAGGTGTCAGGAGGTGGGGTATTGGAGCCGAGCCTTGATGCGGGTGTTGGAATTGAACAAAGAAGGATTTAGCCTGTTTAATCACACATCCCACACAGCAGAGCCAGAGGAAGGGGGAGACAGCTACAGGGGGTTGGGGGCCAGACCGGGGGATGACACTGACCTTTGCCCCAGACATAGAGGTTCCCTCCAGAGTCCCCGGTGACGACGTCGCCCCCCTCCAGAAAGGTCACACACAGCACGTACTTCGGTTTCTCGTGTTTCTAAGGGGGGGAGGGTGTCAAGGTCGCGGAAGCTGGGGGGCTCCCAGAGCTCACCTATCGTCCGGGACCCCCTCCCTGCTTTTCGGTGAGGACGCTCGTAGAGCATCCCCCTCCAACCCCCCTCCATGGAGTGCTCCCGTCATCCAGGTTCTGACCACATCGCCTCTTTCCTGGACCCACTTCCTGCCTAACTTCCGTTCCCCTCTCTGTCCTCAGTTTCCCCTGCTCTCTTCTCCTTGGATTGCCTTGCCTCTGCCCCTCACTTCTCCCCTCTCCCTCCCTGCCTTCCTCCCCATCTCGGTCTCTACATCCTCCTCCTAGCCCCGTGGTCGGCAAACCGTGGCTCGTGAGCCACATGTGGCTCTTGGGCCCCTTGAGTGTGGCAAGTCTATGTTGAAGAAGTGGCATTAGAAGAAGTTTAAGTTTGAAAAGTGTGGCTCTCCAAAGACATTTCAATCGTCGTACAGCTGCTATTTGGCTCTGTTGACGAATGAGTTTGCCGACCATTGGCCTACTCTCTTCCCATCCCACTCTCTTCCCAGTTTCTCCAGCTCATCTCCATCTGTGGCTGGAGTTGTCCAGGCCTCTCTCTTTGGGGTGAAGCCCCAACTCCCACCAAAGGCAGGGGAGCCCCATCTGATGTGCCCCTGGATCTTCCCTCCTGGGCCCTCTGCTTCTCACTGTCTCTGTCTTGGTGCCCGTTTCCCTCCGCCCGCCGGCCTCCGACCTCTCGGTGTGTCCACACTATTGGCAGCGGCAGCACCGTTGACTGAGCCTGTACCGTCTGCCAGGGGCTGCTAAGCTCTTCACCCCACGAATCCTCACCATTTGCGCATTAAGGAGGATCACCAGGTCGCTGCACTCAGCCCCATGGTGCGGAGAGGGACACCGAGGCCCCGGCAGTCACCGCTGGGACCCTGTGGAGCACCCTGCTGTCTGCCTGGGTGTCCCTGCCTGCCTCTCGCAGGCCCAGCCTGTCCTCCCCCACACCCACCCCACTCACCTCAAAGAGGCCCTGCCGCTTGCTCAGGCTGCCCCCCTCCAGGCTCCAGAAGTAGATGTGGGATTTCCCGCAGGTGATGATGATAGAGGGGTCGGTGGGGTGGAAGGTGGCCACCAGAACAGCGTCGTTGGAGCACTTTGGGGAACGGGACATCCGAATGAGGTCCTTAAACCACCGCAGCCACACACCCACCCCCTGTGGGAGCGCCCTGCACAGCGGTGTGGGTTGTGCATTGCACACCGACGTGTCTGCACCTTTCCTCTCCGGGCAAAAGGCCCAGGAGGCAGGGCCCACCAGCCAGGCCTCACTGCCGCCTTCATTAACATAACAGCAAGGCACCTGGGCAGCTCTACTGGCACCTAGCACCGTGTAAGCACTTTCCACTTAACCCACAGCACCCTGGGAGGTAAGGCTCAATAGTAACTCCCTAACACACATAAGGAAGTGAGGCTTGCCTGGCTGGTGCGGCCCAGTAGCTGAGCATTGACCCATGAACCAAGAAACTGCGGTTCAGCCAAAACCAGTTGGCTCAGTGGATAGAGCGTCAGCCTGCGGACTGAAAGGTCCCAGGTTCGATTCCGGTCAAGGGCATTTACCTTGGTTGTGGGTACATCCCCCAATAGGAGGTGTGCAGGAGGCAGCCGGTTGATGTTTTTCTCATCGATGTTTCTAGCTCTCTATCCCTCTCCCTTCCTCTCTGTAAAAAAAATCAATAAAATATATTTTTTTAAAAAGAAATTGTGGTTGAATTCCTGGTCACATGCCCGGTTTTCAGGCTCCATCCCCAGTGGGGGGCGTGCAGGAGGCAGTCAATCAATGATTCTCTCTCATCATTGATGTTTCTATCTCCCTCTCTCCCTCTCCCTTCCTCTCTGAAACCAATAAAAATACATTAAAAAGAGAAAAAAGAAGAAATGAGGCTCAGAGAGGTGAAGTGACTTGCCTACAGCCACACAGCCAGGTAAGCATCGTGTTCAGCATCAACACACGTAGGTCTGACTCCAGAGCCCAGCCTCTCGACCATTTCTCCTTCCCCAAACTGGGGCCCCAATCCAAAACCCAGGTCTCCAGCCCCCAGCCCAGAACTGGCGTGTGACCTTGGACAAGGAGTTCTCCTCCCTCCCCCCGACCATGCCCGAGGTCCCTCGTCTGTAAAACAGGCCACTGCCTGGGGATGCCAGCCAAGGTCTGTCTTGGACATGGCAGGACTGCAGAGCCAGCAGCCACCTCATCCCAACCCTTCTGTTGGACCTGGTCCAGCCACCCCAGACCCCAGCATCAAAGCCAAGGCCCTGCAAGGAAGATGCTCCCATTTTACAGATGAGGCAACTGAGGCTCAGAAAGAGCAAGCCCAGAGTCACCAGCCAGCAAATACAAAGCCAGGATTTAAAGGTGAGCCTGGTCCTGACCGATTTGGCTCAGTAGATAGAGTGTCGGCTGCGGACTCAAGGGTCCCTGGTTCGATTCTGGTCCAGGGCATGTACCTTGATTGCAGGCACATCCCCAGAGAGGGGTGTGCAGGAGGCAGCTGATTGATGTTTCTCTCTCATCAATGTTTCTAACTCTCTCTCCCTCTCCTTTCCTCTCTGTAAAAAAATCAATAAAATATATATTTTTTTAAATAAAATAAAAAAATAAAGGTGAGCCTATGTGATAGCAGACTCCTAACCACCGAGATCCAGCCAGTCCCACCTGGGCCTCCCGAGGAGAAGGGGTGGGAAGGGTCGACCCACCTTGCTATCCACCACCTTGGTCTCCTTGGTCCAGTCCCACACGGAAAGCACGTGATCATTGGATTCGTCCACCGCACAGAGCAGGTTGCCCCCATTCTAGGAGAGAGAGGCAGGTGGGTCAGGATCCACCCCCCCAAAACTCCCCCCAACAGGGCACTTGCCACTCAGACCTGTTTTAAGATTTCCAAAGGCTCTGGCGCATCCTATCTAATAAAGACAGAATATGCAAATTGACTGTAACTCCGCAACAAAGAGGGTGGCGCCCACAGCCAATAAGGAAGGAGTATGCAAATGAATGCAACACAGCGAGAGGCAGGAGGTGGCTCCAGGCCAGAGTGAAGCCGTGCCAGCAGCCAGGGGAAGGAAGGCCTATTCTTGCACGAATCTTCGAGCGTTGGGCCTTTAGTGTTACATAAAGCACATTAAAATTCACTCCCTATCCAGCAGCCATACACACGTTTAAAAGGTTTCTATAATTTTCCTTTTAAATGACTTGTCCCTAAGAAGTGTATCTAATTTACCCTCGGTTACAATTTCTCTGCAGTCGTCTTGCAATCAGGAATTCATACTGAGACCATCTAATTTCCATTTTCCTATGAAATGCCTTTTATGTATATGAAATTGAACAATTAATTGACAAGATGATTTTTCATATATTTAGTTAAACACAAGTTAATTTTAATTTTGCAGGATCTCTCTCTCTCTCTCTCTCTCTCTCTCTCTCTCTCTCTCTCACACACACACACACACACACACACACACACACACTTTGGCAATAAAACCGCTTTTTCCCTCCCAAAGCTCTCAACGGCCTCCTTGGGACTCAGAAAACCTGTGAGGCTCTAAGCCAGGGCTTCTTAAACTATCTGAGGGGAGACTGGCTGTTGTTTTTTATTCCCCATCCATGGCAGACCAACACTTTGACAAAATAATGATAAAAATGTAAAACATGGCTTAATAAACAACACACCACCATACTTGGACGTGTGGGAATGCCAGATCGCTCTACGGATTCCTGAAGGCTTACTCTCAGTTCCTTTACTTATCTTGCCCAGACCTGCCAACACCCTTCTAGCTACAAGGCCCACCTCCCTGGACACTGGCCTGCGAATGCCTAACAGATCGGGGCCCTGGAGAAGGAAAGGCGGTGAGGGAAATAACGCAACAGCGTTCCCTGGTCTACAATACAAGGGACCAGGGAGGAGTTTGGGACCATCGGGCCCTACGGTTCCCTTCACAGAGGCACCAGGGCAGGAGTGTGAAGTCCCGGAGGTGGGTGCCCAGCCTGGAGGGCCTGAGTAACTCTGCCAGGAGCATGGCCTGCGCCCGGGCCATCACCACAGAGGCATCCACCGCCAGGGGCCAGCGGAAAGGTGCTGTGCTGGCTCCGGGTTCTGGAGGGGGCAGGCAGGTGGGGGTGGGCGCAGGACTCACCGATTTGGAAAAGCCCACGCAGCACACAGCTCTGTCAAACACGCCCAGGCCCAGCACGTGTAATGTGGAGAGGGAAACTGAGTCCCAGACGCGCACGTGGGGTGGCAGTGGCTGCAGGAAAGAGAGGCCTGTTACCTGGGGAGACCCAGCTGCCTGCCCCCCCACCCCAGGACCCCACTCGTCTCCCGGTCCTGCCCTCTTCCCTCTGTTACCTTCCCTTCCTTAGTGGTGCCTGCCACCTGTCCAGTGGCAATGGTGACCATATCGGGGTGGATAGCCAGGCTGAAGAGAGAGAGGACAGATGGACAGGGCTCAGTGAGAGCGAGGGGAACCAGCACACCATAGTCACAATGCCTGGTTAGCGCCAAAACCGGTTTGGCTCAGTGGATAGAACGTCGGCCTGCGGACTAAAAGGTCCCAGGTTCGATTCTGGTCAAGAGCATAATGCCTGGTTATTCATTCTACACTTGGTGGGCTGAGTTATTTAGTCAATACACAGTATCAATAAAGAAGTACCCTCTGGGTACCCCAGCTCAGTAGCAAGACCTGGGCCTGTGGTCTCCAATTCAAGTGTCCAAAGGGCTAAGGTCTGTACCACAAATGGCCAGGAGAGGGCACCCACTTGAAGGGGCAGCGGTTAGGGTGTTGGCTGGTATGCTGGCGGGTGTCAGGATCTATTCCTGGTCAGGGCACATGCCCAGGGTTGGGAACTCAATCCCCAGGCTGGGGGTGCAAGAGGCAGCCGACCAATGGTTCTCTCAAAATGGATGTTTCTATCTCTTTCTCCCTCTCCCTACCTCTGAAATCAATAAAAATAAATAAGGAAAAAGAAAAATGAGTGGCCACACCAAGTAGGTCCAACAGACGGCTGGATTATCTGGGGTGCCAGCTAGTTTTCAAAGGAAGTGAAATATCCTGGCATTTGAGAAAATTAACCAACATTTGAAATATAATCAATCCACACTTTTCCCCTCTGAATTCAGCCGGCAGGCCACCAAGGCCCCCCTCCCCCAATACTGTCCCCACCCCCAATACTGTCCCCAACCCCCTCCCCACCCCCAATACTGTCCCCACCCCCACCCCGCCCCCAATCCCCACCCCGCCCCCAATCCCCACCCCACCCCCAATAGTGTCCCCACCCCCTCCCCACCCCCAATACTGTCCCCAGCCCCTCCCCACCCCCAATACTGTCCCCAATCCCCACCCCACCCCAATACTGTCCCCACCCCCAATACTGTCCCCAACCCTCACCCCACCCCCAATACTGTTCCCACCCCCCACCCCACCCCCAATACTGTCCCCAACCCTCACCCACCCCCCAATACTGTCCCCAATCCCCACCCCCCCAATACTGTCCCCATCCCCACCCCACCCCCAATACTGTCCCCAACCCTCACTCCAACCCCAATACTGTCCCCACCCCCCTCCCCACCCCCAATACTGTCCCCAACCCCCTCCCCACCCCCAATACTGTCCCCACCCCCCTCACCCCACCCCCAATACTGTCCCCACCCCCAATACTGTCCCCACCCCCCTCACCCCACCCCCAATACTGTCCCCACCCCCCACCCCACCCCCAATACTGTCCCCAACCCCCACCCCACCCCTAATACTGTCCCCACCCCCACCCCACCCCAATACTGTCCCCACCCCCCTCCCCACCCCCAATCCTGTCCCCACCCCCACGCCACCCCAATACCGTCCCTCCAGGCCCTCCCAGGCCTCACCACTTGATGTCATCGTTGTGTCCCAGGTAGTGCCGCTGCCTCTGCTCCTCCACGCTGTACAGCACGGCCACGGAGGCCACGAAGTACACTATCTCCCCCGTGGGCAGCAGGTAGAGGTTGGCGCGGCAGTCTCGGCCCCGGTAGCCATAGCTGGAGATGCCCGGGCTGGCTAAGGAGCCTGTTTGGCATTGCGTGTGCTGACTGACTACCAAACTCAACCAGGTAACAAGATAGGTTTTCTTGCTTCCAAGCTTCCCCCCTCGGGGGCTTGAATGATGGTAGGCCCCCAAAGTTATGCCCCCCAACTATTAACACCGGAACCTGAGGCTGTGCTGCACAAGGAGAAGGAGACTTTGTGGGTGTAATTGAGGGCTTTAGGATGAGGTCAACTGGATTATCTGAGTGAGCCCTAAACCCAATGACAAGTGTCCTTATAAAGAGAAGACACAACCCTGGCTGGTTTGGCTCAGTGGATGGAGCCTTGGCCTGCGGAGGTTTGATTCCCGTCAGGGGCATGTACCTTGGTTGTGGGCACATCCCCAGTGGGAGGTGTGCAGGAGGCAGCTGATTGCTATTTCTCTCTCAGCCATGCTTCTGACTCCCTATCCCTCTCCCTTCCTCTCTGTAAAAAATCAGTAAAATATATTTTTTTAAAATGAGAGAGAGAGAGAAGTCACAGACCCAGGGGTGGAAAAGGCCAGGTGAATCGGCCTCTGAACCAGGAGGTCACTGTTCAAATCCCGATCAGGGCGCATGCCCAGCTTTCGACTCGATCCCCAATGTGGGGCATGCAGGTTGCAGCCAATCAATGATTCTCATTGCTGATGTTTCTGTCTTTCTCTCCCTTCCTCTCTGAAATCAATACAAATATATATATTTTAAAGAAAAGGCCCTGCCCTGACCAATTTGGCTCAGTGGATAGAGCATCGTCCTGCGGACTCAAGGGTCCCGGGTTCGATTCCTGGTCAAGGGCATGTACCTTGGTTGCGGGCACATCCCCAGTGGGAGGTGTGCAGGTGCAGGTGTGATACATATTCCTCTCATCGGTGTTTCTGACTCTCTCCCTCTCCATCCTCTCTGTAAAAAAGTCAATCAAATATATATTCTTAAAAAATAAAGAAAGAAAGGCCCTGTGAAGATAGAGATTGGAGTGATGCAGCTATAAGCCAAAGATCTCCAGGAGCCATCAAACAGCTAGGAGGCAGACAGGAACAAACTCTCCCGCGCCTCGGAGGGAGGGGCCCTGCCGACACCTTGGTTTGGGATTTCTGGCCTCCAGAGCTGAGAGAAGGTCCCTCTGGTGTTTTAAGCCACCTCGTTTGTGGTCCTTTATGGCAGCAGCCACAGGAAATGGATGTAACCTCCTGCCCACCCCTCCCCACAGGGACGCAGTTAAACCCATCCACACTGATTCCGTCCACACCCCTCCTCTCAGAACCTTCCCATGGGTGGGTCCCACCTCACTCACAATCAAAGCCAAAGTCCTAACAAAAGCCCAGGCCCAAGGCCTAACCTGACGTGGGCCCCGATTCCTCTTTCCCCTCCTCCTCCTCAGCTCCAGTCCCAGGAGCCATCTTCCCTTCTCACGTTGAAGATTTAGTCCTGGCTCTTCCCTCCACCGAGGCGCCCCCCCCCCCCCCCTTCAGCCCTCTGGGCCCCTCAGCTCCTCCCGCCCTCTGCTCAGCTGTCAGCTCCTGGGCAGGCCTTCCGCCCCTGCTCTCTGAAACTGCAAACTCATGCCCCGCACGGCCGCCGCCCCTCCCCGCTCCATCTCTGTGCCTGCCGGGCACTCAGCAGCATCCAGCGCCATGATCTGCTTAATGGCCTGCCTGCCCCCTCGGCTAGTGCCGGCTCTGGGAGGGCAGGGCTGTCTGTCCATTTCGTTCACATCCGTATCCCCCACGCCCAGATGAGGGCCTGGTGCACAGCGGGCATTCAGGGGTGGGCAAAAATAGGTTAATAATAATTTAAAAAAAATAAGCAATACAATCATGAATGAATAAATAAGGATACAAGAACAAGCTGATTCACGTCCTCATCACTATAAACCTACTTTTGCCCACCCCTGAATGAATCCAGTATCTGCTGAAGGAATGGCGAACTCTCTCTCCCCTGATGAGAACTTTCTGGGGCTCCCCCAGGACTCTGAGGAGAAGGCCCACACTCCTCGCGGCCTGGTTGGCCCCTCCTGGGCTCTAGCAGGGCTCCTGGCCGCCCTGGACTGTTCTTAGAGTTCCTCAAAGTGCCAAGGTCATTACCACGCCCCAGGCCGTGGCACTAACTTTCCCTTTTACTAGAACATTCTACCTGCCACCCTTCTTAGCTGTCTCCTCTTCCTCCTCCTTCTCCTCCTCCGAGCTGTCCTGAGGCTCATCCTCCTCTGCACTTACCCACATAGTAAGCATCTGGTTGACTTGTTAACTGTCCTCCTTTCCAGTGAGACTGAGTTCCATGGTGGGGCACTCCAGGCAGCTTTGTTTACTTCTATAACTCCTCTGAGAAGCCCTCCCTGAGCCCCAGGCTGGGGCAGCTGCCCCCTCAGAGTGGGCAAGGCCCCATCCCAGCCTTGCCCACTCTGAGCTGTCACTGTCAAGGAGTCTGTCCCCGCACTGGACGGTGAGCCCAGGAGGGAAGGCAGACACTGTCACAGTGACCGCTGGGTCCCCAGCCTTTGGCCCCAGAAAACGTTCAGAAAAGATTTTAATGAATGCCCACATGGCTATCCCTAGGTTCTGAGAGGAACTGCTCCACCTCAGTCGTTTTTGAGCTGGGACATGAGACCCATGCTGACTTTTGCTCTCAGCTGCCTCTCCTCTGATGCTGTCAAGCTCATCCTGGCATGGCGGCTTGGTGTTCCTTGTTTGCATGTATATTTCCGGCTGCCTCGAGGACAGCCTGGGCCCCCCGACATCCCTGCCGTCTCCAGAGCGGAACCAAGGCCAAGAGGAGAAGACAGGGTGGGTCCCATGGATGCTGAGCCCAGCTCCAGTGGGCTTCTGGGAAAAGCTTGGGGTCCAGAGTCAGAGTTCTGACTCCCTGGGACAGGGCTTGGTCCCCTCTCTCAGCCTGTTTCCTCATCTGGGAAGTTAGGGTTAGGGTTAGGATTAGTTGGTAGTAATTCCCAAACTGCAGGCCTTAGAGAGCTCTTGAAAGCCACTGGTTGTAAAAATTCTCAACTCCACAAAAGAGAAGGACCATGCTATTCAACATATTTATACATCAAAAAAATTTAGAACAGCCCGGCTGGTGTAGCTCAGTGGTTGAGCATTGGCCTATGAACCAGGAGGTCATAGAGCAGTGTCTGGCATGTAAGTGTTCGATAACGATTAGTTTTAATTTTATAATCCTGTTTATGGGGCACATATGACAAGCTCAGCACCTTTACGCCTTGTTTCACAGCCCCGTGAATCGAGATCATGAACCCCACTTTTCAGAGGAGGCAATTTAGGCCCAGAGAGGCAAGGTAGCTTGTCCAAGGGTCACACAGCTAGCAGAAGGCGAGGCTGGGGTTTCAACCCATCTGGCCCGGCTCCATAGACAGGTTCTTAACCATTACCAACTTCTGTTCATCGGCTACACCATGCTGGCTTTGGACACAGCGCCCTGGGACCTGTGGAGGCTCCTGTTTTGGAACATTTTAGTTCTCCCTAACTGTTCAGTTCAGTCCACACACCCCCTCCTCAGAGAAATCCTTATTTCCCTCGGATGAGCTTAGGATACTGTACTCCCAGCATTTACTACTGGCTGAAATCATCTTGTTTATTTAATCGCTGGCTTCTGTGCTATCGTGTGTGTGTGTGTGTGTGTGTGTGTGTGTGTGTCCCACCCCCAGCTTTAAAAGGTTAGCTTGCAAACAGAAGAGAATCTGACATATGGAAGGCACCCAGCAAACATTTGCTATCATATTTCAATGAACCATAAAAGGTCATTTCAGTCGAAACCGGTTTGGCTCAGTGGATAGAGCAGTCAGTCTGCAGGTTCGATTCCAGTCAAGGGCATGTACGTTGGTTGCAGGCATATCCCCGGTGTGGGGTGTGCAGGAGGCAGCTGATCGATGTTTCTCTCTCATCGATGTTTCTAGCTCTCTATCCCTCTCCCTTCCTCTCTGTGAAAAATCAAAAAATGTATTTAAAATTTTTTTTTAAAAAAGGTCATTTCAGTTAACCTGCCTTCCACTGTCCCCTCTGACTCCGGGTCATCCTGACCCCTCCAGCCTTAGGGGCCTGGGAAGACCCGTCTTTAGTACAAAGACCTCCATGTGCTGAGGTCTCACACCAGAAGGACGTTTGTCCCCTCCTGATTGGGCGGTGGGATGTGAAGGCGGGGGAGGGGATTACAGCAAGAGGATACACCCAGTCCAGCTTGAGTCTGCAGGAAGGCAGCTCTGAGCGCGTGTCCAGGCTGTAGGTGGGCACCAGCTCATCCGGGATCAGCATGGGCACGGGACGGCCCCTCAGGAACATCTTCACGGAGCCCTCCTCTGCCAGGACACCCCGAGAGTCAGGTGCTGGCACCAGCCCCCCATCCCTATTTCCTCTCCCCTACAGGCTTCACTTTAAAAAAAAAAAAATAGGTGGGGAAACTGAGGCCAGACAAGCAAAAGCCTAGTAGCCAGGTCCCCAGGCCTCCAGCTTCGGGGGCGGGGGGGTCTCACCCGAGCAAGCCCAACCAGGCCCCTCCCCCTCCTCTCACTTACCCACGCTGAAGATAGCTTCTTTGGTTTTGCTGTCAGGACAGAACAAGAAGGAAAAAAAGTTAATCCTTTTTATCAGGGAGCAGTTCAGCAAGGGAGAGACGCCGCTGCTTTTCCCCACGGCGCCCGGGAGGGAGGGAGGCCTCCGATGCACACGGAACGGGGGCCGCGACAGGAGCGGAGCGCTGCCTCTCTGCAGGCCGTGTGCTTTGCTCGGTTGAACGTGCAGAGCCTAAGACACAGGCCCAGAGAGGCAGTGATCGCCAAAGGTCACACAGCACGGAGCGGCAGGAAGGCGATCCTGGAAGAGGGGAGTCACCGGGGACCCCTCCCTCCTCAGCAGCACGGCTCTCCCCGCGCTCCCCACGCCCGCAGCGCCCCGAACTCCCAGCAGCGAGGAAAGCGTGAAGGGCTAAGGGGAGGGGCGTGTCTCAGGTCCCCTCCGCCGGCGGAGAGGAGGGATGCTCGCGGGCCTGGGTCCCCGGCCAGGGGGAGGCCTGGGACTCAGGCCCCGGGAGCGCAGAGAGGAAGGGGGCCTGGGGGGTCTGCGAGGGTCTCACCAGGCTCCAAAGCTACTCATGGCGGCGGCTGGCGGAGCTTCGGGGCCGGGGGTGGAGCCGGGACCGGCCCCGCCGCTTCCGGCCCTGGGAGGCGCCCGCGCCGCCGCGCCCCGCCCCGCCCTCCGCGGCCGACCCGGGAGCGGCGGGCCACGCCGGGTCTCAGGTCCCAGACGGTGGGTCCTGATACCCGGCTCTTTTTTGGGGGGGTTGGGGAGGGTAGGGGAGGGTGTTGTTTGAGAACATGGGCTCGGGGGCGTGCCTGCCTGCGTCCAAACCCCAGCCCTGCCGCTGCCGAGCTGGGTGGACAGGTTGCCCAGCCTCTGCCTCAGTTTCCTAGTTTTTAAAAGGTGGATAACAGGCCGAAACCGGTTTGGCTCAGTGGATAGAGCGTTGGTCTGCGGACTGAAAGGTCCCGGGTTCGATTCCGGTCAGAGGCATGTACATTGATTGCAGGCACATCCCTGGTGGGGGGTGTGCAGGAGGCAGCTGGTCGATGTTTCTCTCTCATCGACGTTTCTAGCTCTCTATCCCTCTCTCTTCCTCTCTGTAAAAAATCAATAAAATATATTTTAAAAAATAATAATAATAAAAAAAAATAAAAGGTGGATAACAGAGTACCTACTCTCCGGGGCAGCTGCGAGGGTTAAACTGGTTAATTCATGTTAGGTGCCTGGAGTTAGTGCCTTTACGAGTCTATGTACGTGTTTGCTATTACTTGAATGGGGTGGAAATGGGTTTATTTTAATCCTGCTCCTACCTGACTCCTGATCCCAGGCCCTGGCCACGCCCACCACATCCTGGCCACGCCCAACATTCCGATCACACCCACTGTGCCCATCCTGCCCCAGAGTTGATCGCCTCTGGACACCTGACCTCCTCGCCTCTGGTCCCGCGAGGCATTCCGACCACGACCCCTTTCACGTGACCCCGTCCTCCAGGGGAGTCCCTCCACATCCGGAGACTGAGCCAGGCCGGCCTCCGACCGCGCCCAATTCCGAGGGGCCCTGACCCCGGCTCTGCCCCACCCGGATTCCTGGGTCTGACTCGCCCCCACCGGGTCGCATTGACCCCCAGTGATCCCGGCCCCAGGTTCTGATTCGGCCCAGGCTGGCATTCGGGCCACGCCCTCAGATTCCAAACACGCCCCTACCAGGTTCGAAAGTCTTAGACTGTTAGGAGAGAGGAGGGTTTGAAGATGCCGTGACTGAGATGGTAAATATTTATGAGTGATATCAACATTCGAAAGATGACATCCACTCATTCCTAATGGCACCCGATGTTCTAGAATGGATCCCCCATTCCCTGCAGAAACTCCCCTGGGGCTTCTGCCCTGGATCCCACACCTGAGACAGCCCAAGGGAATTTTCCTTTACATTCATTCATTCATTCGCTCTGCCCACAGACCCAGCTCCTCTCTGACCTCTACCCTGGTCCCCCCCACCCCGCCCGGACTATCCCCGCCCAGGTTCTAATCGGACTATCCCCGCCCAGGTTCTAATCGGACTATCCCCGCCCAGGTTCTAATCGAGCCCCTGAAGGCTTTGGCCACGCCCCTCCGCGTTGGCCCAGCCCCCCGGGCCTTCCGTTTCCACCGCGCCGTCTCCGTTGGGTCCCTCCACGCTTCCGGCACGGTCCCCGCCTTCTGAGCCAGATGTGGTCCCGTGGCCGGGGGCATCACCCTACATCCCCCATCCTTCCCGACGCCTATCTGAGGTCCTGACCTCACATGTCCCCGCCTCCGACACTCACCCTTCCTTTTTGTTGCTACAGTTGCTGCTGGAGGACGTGGTGCGGCTGCGGGGGTCCTCGCGGCGCACCGAGGCCAGGCGCTCGGGTGACAGGTAGCGGCGGGCGCTGCGGAGAGAGCACCCAGTGGGGGCGGGTCCTGGAGGCCAGCGGGCGGCGGAGGGAGGGGGGCGAGGGCCTCCCGGCACCTTCCCCCGCCGGCGTCCGGGCGCACGAGTCCATCCCTCCCCTCCCCATACACGCTCTGTTCCCCACCAGGTCTGAGAGGAGGCTCCTCCCCAGCTCCTGCGCCTCACCTGCGCCTGGAGCTCGCCTCCTTCTTGGGCGAGGAGGGGGACGTGGCGTAGCCGCCCGCGCGCCGCGGGGGTCCGGAGCCATTGAGGGGCGTCCTGGTGGGAAGGCCTTTGAGGAGCTGGCACACTAAGAGAGATGGGGTGGGGGTGGGGGGGGACAGAAGCAGGTGAGGGTGAGGTCCGAGCCCGCCCCTCCCTGGCTCATCCCCGCAGGCTAGCGCAGATACCCGAGGCGGCGGTGCCCAGGCGCGGGGGCGCCCGGCCCTTGGGGGTGCTCCGCGCCCGCAGCGCGGCGCCCTGCTCCTCGCACGCCCTCAGGCGCCGCAGCGCGTCCGCCAGCGCCGCCTTCAGCACCGCCAGCTCGTCTTCCTGCAGCTGCAGCCGCTGCTCCAGCGCCGACACGCGGTCGTCCACCTCCATGCCGCTCGTCCCGGACAAATTGTCATCTGCAAGAAGGCGGGGGGGAGCGGGGCTGGCTGCGGGCGGGGGCCCCGGGAGCTCCGACGCCGAGGCGTCCCTCCTGCCACCCCGGCTCTAAGCCGGGCCGGCCACGCTGCTCCCTTCCTCTCCCGCAGCCAGGGCTGGGGCGCTTGGAGACGGGCCAGGAAGAGGGCTTGGGGGGAGGGGGGGACCGGGGTAAGGAAATCCCCAGCCTCTCACCCCTCACCACTCTTCTCCGCTCAGCGCCCCGGAGGTGGGACCTGAGGGAAGTCCCCTCCTCTCTGCTAACAGTTCTCCGTACGAATCAATAGACTTTCGACCCCGGCTTGAAGATGCTATGACTAAGACGTTAAATATTTATGAGTGATATCATCAGCCTTTGAAAAGATGACATCAACTTGTTCCTAGTGGCACCAAGGTTCTAGAATGGATTCCCGAAGACTATCAATATCTTATCGCGAGTTCTAAGTTCTTCTTTCTGTTTCTAAGACTCTCCAAGCCAAGAGGTCACGCCTGGTCCCTCCTCTTCCCCTTCGGTCCCCACTGCGGGGCTGGACCCTAGCGCTGCGGCCCGCGAGGACGGAGTTCTTGCGGCCCCTGGCGGCAGACTCGAGGGTTGCAGGTAGCGCGTCGCAGACCCAGGAGACCCAAACTCTTTTTTTTTTTTAAATCGGAGCTTCTCTTACCTGTCCCCCCTATTTTTTTTTTTTGTTTTGCTTCTGTACCCCACACCCTAGATTCATTTCTCCTTCTCCTTCCATCCCTTAGATGCAGCCAAATAACTCTCCGTCGCCCCTCCCTCCCATTTCGGTGGTCCCCTTTTCCCCTTCCCCTCAGACCACTCATACCCAGACTCATTGCTGACCACAACCGAGGAAGGCCTGGCTCCCAGCCGGGCGGGTTTGAAGGCGGCAGCATTAGCGGGGACGGGGCGTGGAGGTCGCATCTGCCATCCCGAAGCTGTAGGCTGCCCTGCCCGCCGGCTGGTCTCCGCAGTGCAGCTCTCGGTCCCTCCCCTCGCCCCCCCCCCCGCTCCAGGGGGAGGGGCACCCAATCGCCTGCCAGACCTCACCCGCCCTGCCCTCCTCCCAGAGCCTCTCTGGCCCGGTGCCTGGGCCTGCAGAGAAAGGTGGGGGCTTCTTAAGGTGGGGGGAGGGAAGGGGAGAGAGCTGTCAAGGCTAGGAACTCAAGACGAGGGGATCCCAGGGTCCCACCGGCATCACCTAGGCGAAGGAGGAAAACTAGGGACGGAAGTTGGAGAAATGCACAGAGACCCTCCGAAGGTCACACAGCCCAGAGGTGAGGGGCAGGAGGGCCCAATCGCCTCTTTGTATTGATCCCCCTCTTCCTGCCATGAATAAATGCTCCCCCAAAATGAAATCTGCCCTAGAGGGCTTCCGTGTGGCTGGCACCGTTCATGCAAGATGCGTAGCACATTCCAATGTTATGGTACCCAAAGCCGCCAGCAGCTCTAGTAGTTGTGTTATGATGCCCATTTTGGGTGGGGAGGGAAAGGGGCACTGAGGCTCCGAGAGGTTAAATTAGTTGTTTACGGACGCACAGCCCATCAGCAGCGGGAAAGGTGCTCAGCCCCGTCATTCTGCGTCTTAGGGAGGGCATGGAGGACACCATGAGCCAGCATCCTGACGCTCTGCCAGCTGCAGTGGGCCGTGCCCCTGCAGTGGGAGGTGCCCCCGGGGGAGTAAGCCCCACGCTGGGAGAGGGCCTCCTGAGTGGGTAGAGGAGCCGGCCCCTCGGCCCCTCGGCCCCCACCCAGAGAGGCCTCGGCCTGCCCCCACCAAACCATGACTCAGGTCCTCCGATCCTTCCAGACCATTCCCCCACCCTCAGCCCTCCTGCCCGGGGACCACCCTCAGTGGCCATTTTTCTCCCATCTCCCCTCCCCTCTGCCTCCAGCACCCCTCCTCTGGGCGGGACCCCCACCATGGCCCTCCTGGTGTCGCACTCGTTTGTATGAAGTGGGTCCTAATGGATGGGAGGTGTGGGGCCTAAGGATTTTTTGGGGGGCTTAGTAGATGCCCTCTGGTGGTCCTCCCAGGTCCCACACCAAACCCCATCCTCCCCCAACCTGCCTATCCCTCTGCCAGGGAGAAAGGGAGGGTCCCAGGGGACTGAGAGGGGAAAGGGAGGACAGAGTTCCAGACCTCCAGGCGTTTGCCTCTTCACCCCCTCCCCCCCCCCGGGAGGGGAGAGAAGAGAAGGGTGGAAGCAGGGAGGTGGGGTGGGGTCTGAGATCAGGGCTTTAAGGATGGGGACCTTGCTCTGGGGTCAGAGCCCTTCAGGGAGAGAAATGGAGGTCTCCAGCAAGGGCTGAGGATGCGGATTTGGAAGCAGGAGGCTGGGGCAGGAGGAGATGGGTCCAGCGCCGGGCAGGGCCAGGGTCGGAAGGATGGAGGTGTGGGGGGAGGGTCTCACCATTGCAGTATTGAAGCAGCGAGGATGTGTCGTAGAGGCCGCAGAAGGCCGGGCCGCGCTCCGCCATCGCCCCGCCACAGCCGCCGCCGGCACCCCCGGCCCCAGCCCGGGCCCGGTCCCCACCCCAGGCCCTGCCTCCCGTTGCCATAGCAACACCCTTGGTTCCAGCATCCCCGGGCTGGGCCTGCCCGGCGTCATGCGACGACCGGCGCCGGGCCTGGCACCGGGGTCATCCCTCAGGATGCCCAGAAAGGGGGAAAGGGGTGTCAGGACACCCCCTGCTGAGCCCCCCAACACAATCCTCAGGCCCGGATTGGTTGGGTCGAGTCCCCCACCCCCGGTACTGTCTGGTCCAGCCCACCACCGGCGCATAGTCTCTCTAGGCCCCCACCTTGTCCGCTCAGGACCAATGAGAGCCTGTCGCGCAGGGCCTTCCACCAATAGGAACGCAGAAGAATTGGAAGGGGCGGGGCCTCCCCTGCTTTTCAGCCATAGGCTTAGCCCCGACTCTGAGAGGAGGATCGGGTGGGGAAGATGCTCCCTTATCCCCTCCTCCCACCCCAAACCTCCTCCCCAGTCTTTCCCAGCCCCCTTGCAAGACTAGAACCCGACTCTGGGATCTTAAATCCACCCAGATGTCCACCAGCTCCGACCTGGGACCCTTATTCTAGCCCCGTTCTGAGAGCCCTTGTTTTTTTTTTTTTTTTTAAATATATATTTTATTGATTTTATACAGAGAGGAAGGGAGAGAGATAGAGAGGTAGAAACATCGATGAGAGAGTCATCAATCAGCTGCCTCTTGCACACCCCCCACTGGGGATATGCCCGCAACCAAGGTACATGCCCTTGACCGGAATCGAACCCGGGACCTTTCAGTCCCCAAGCCGACGCTCTATCCATTGAGCCAAACCGGTTTCGGCATGAGAGCCCTTGTTTATCAGATCCAGACCCGCCCCCAGGGGCCTAAACTCCACCCCAGAGTCCTGTGGGAGACCCCGAGGGCTGTGACGCTTTGCTCAGAACCCCGGACCCAGCCTTCCTATAGGATTAGCCACGCCCCCGGAGGTTAGGCCCCTCCCCCAAGTCTGTATCTTCTTCATCTTTCCTTCCACTTTCCTATCAGCCGCCCCTCGTTCCTCCCCTACAGCCCTGATCTCCCACAACTTCATTATCCGGTCCGGGTTCGGACCCAGGTCCGGCTCTGACGCCAGGCCAGCTGGCGGTGTCTGTAGGAGCTGGCTCCGAAGTTGGGGGGAGACAGGAGGGTAGAAGACCTGACAGTGGATTTAAAAAATAAAGGACCACCTGCCCCAAGTCCCCATGGAGAGTCCCAACCTAGCTAGCTAGACGCGGCCCGTGTTCAGGGAGGGGAAGCGAGCCCACCGTGGGAAGAGATTTGCCTCTGGAGACACAGGCTGACCCTGAAATTCAGCCCAGGACTATGGAGCCAGGCTGATCTGGGTTTGATTCCTGATTCCACCGCTTTCTCGTTGTGACTCTGAGAGTCAGTTTCCACATCTGGAAAGTGTGTGTGTTATGGGGACCGGGAGAGGGCACAGGGGGTTTCTATCGCGCCTACCTCTTTCATTTATTTAAAAAAACGTTCATTGCGGACTGAAGGGTCACGGGTTCGATTCCTAGGATCCCCAGTGGGGGCTGTGCAGGAGGCAGTCAATCAATGATTCTCTCCCATCATTGATGTTTCTATCTATCTCTCCTCCCTTCCTCTCTGAAATCAATAAAGAAATATACATTAAAAAAAAAAAAAGTTCACTGAGCCTTAGCTGGTTTGGCTCAGTGGATAGAGCGTCCGCTTGCGGACTGAAGGGTCCCAGGTTGGATTCTGGCCAAGGGCCGTTGCTGTGCTCAATGCCCTCCAGCGTTCAGGAGGCAGCCTATCAATGATTCTCTCCCATCATTGATGTTTCTATCTCCCTATCCTCTCCCCTCCTCTCTGAAATCAATAAAAAATATATATATTTTAAAATATTAAAAACGGCCAAAACCGGTTTGGCTCAATGGATAGAGCGTCGGCTTGGGTACTGAAAGGTTCCATTCCAGTCAAGGGCATGTACCTTGGTTGCAGGCATATCCCCAGTAGGGGGTGCGCAAGAGGCAGCTGATTGATGACTCTCTCTCATCGGTATTTCTATCTCTCTCCCTTCCTCTCTGTAAAAAATCAATTAAAAATATATTTTTAAAAATATTAAAAATGTTCACTGAGTGGTGGCTGATGTAGCTCACTTGGTTGGGTGTCATCCTGGGAACTGAGAGGCTGCCTGTTAGGGCACAGGCTGGGACCTCTGGGAGGGGGGTGTGTGCAGGAGGCAGTGCCAATGGTTTTTTATTTTTCTCCTCTTCCTTCCTCTCTCTCTCTCAAATTAATAAATAAGCCTACCATGGGCAGGCTTGCGGACTGAAGGGTCCCAGGTTGGATTCTGGCCAAGGGCCGTTGCTGTGCTCGATGCCCTCCAGCGTTCAGGAGGCAGCCTATCAATGATTCTCTCCCATCATTGATGTTTCTATCTCCCTATCCTCTCCCCTCCTCTCTGAAATCAATAAAAAATATATATTTTTTAAAATATTAAAAACGGCCTGTCCTAGATTCTGGAGTTTCAGTAGTAACCAAGTCAATCCCAGAGTTTATTTTGTTCTCGTGTACCTTGCAGTATGTGGAGGATGTAAGCTACTATCCACAAAACAAATAATAACAATAATAATAGCAGCTAACATTTATTGAGCACCTACTATGTGCCAAGCACTCGGTTATCTTCACCGTGAGTTTTATTTTCATCACCATTTTACAGATGAAGAAGCAGGCACGAAGCTGGTAAAATAATTTCAGTTACTGGTATTACAGAAATAAGACAAAGTGATATGATTAAGGACAGGAGGGAGAGGCTAGCTGAAACCAGTTTGGCTCAGTGGATAGAGTGTTGGCCTGCAGACTGAAGGGTCACAGGTTCGATTCTGGTCAAGGGCCTGTACCTTGATTGAGGTCACGTCTCCAGTGGGAGGTGTGCAGGAGGCAGCTGATCGATGTTTCTCTCTCATCGATGTATCTGGCTCTCTATCCCTCTCCCTTCCTCTCTGTGAAAAATCAATAAAATATTTAAAAAAAAAAAAAAAAGAAAGAAAGAAAGAAAGAAAGAAAGAAAGAAAGAAAGAAAGAGAAAGAAAGAAAGGAGAGGCTAATTTAGAAAGAGTGGGGCCAAGAAAGCTCTCTCTGAGGAAGTGACATCTGAGGTGAGATGTAATAACAAGAAGGATGCATCCCTAGCCTGTGTGGCTCAGTGGATAGAGTGTCTGCCTGAGGATCAAAGGGTCCCGGGTTCGATTCCGGTCAAGGGCACGTACCTCCGTTTGGTTGCAGGCTCCTCCTCAGCGTAGGCCCGGGTCAGGGCGCGTTCAGAAGGCAACCAATGGATGTGTTTCTCTCACATGGATATTTCTCTTTGTCTCTCCCTCTCTCTTCTACTTTCTTGAAAATCAATGAAAAAATATCCTCAGGTGAGGACTGAAAAAAAAAGAAGGAAGCAATCAGTCATGGAGTTGGGGTGGCAGGGGGGTACTTTTCAGGGGGAGATAGGGCCAAAACCGGTTTGGCTCAGAGGATAGAGCGTCAGCCTGCGGACTGAAAGGTCCCAGGTTTGATTCTGGTCATTGGCATGTACCTTGGTTGTGGGCACATCCCCAGTAGGGGGTGTGCAAGAGGCAGCTGATTGATGATTCTCTCTCATGAATGTTTCTAACTCTCTTTTCCTCTCCCTTCCTCTCTGTAAAAAATCAATAAAATATATATATTTTTAAAAAATCTGGAGATAGATATGAGTTTGGCATATACACGGGGCAGCAAGGAGACCGATGAAAACGAAGCTGCAGAAGTAGATGAGATCAGGAAGGTGAGGGGCCCGCCAGGATTTATAGGGCCATGAGGCTGTGGGAAGATGCTTGCTGTTTGTCACATAGCCAAGCCCCATCGAGGCACGGATATAAAGCATGCATGCGTGCAGTGCCAGGCAATCAGCAGGCACATAGATGATAGCAACCCCTATTTACTTCCTACATGTAAGGCACCAAGCTTCTATTGATATAAAAATAAGTTATTTTACCAGCAAAAATGGAAAATGGATTTATTTGGGAACAGTAAGGAGTTGCAATTTGGGACAGGCAAGCCATAGCCAATTCATAGGCAAATCTGTCAACCAAAGAAGAGAAATGTTATTTTATGGGGGGGAGGAGGGATGGTGAGAACATCGACAGGGGTTCTTTTGAATGAAGGTCCATTGGAGAGCCCAGCCGGTGTGGCTCAGCAATTGAGCAGCAACCCAGGAACCAAGAGGTGGCTGTTTGGATTCCTGATCAGGACACATGCCGGAGCTGTGGGTTCGATCCCCAGTGAGTGGCGTGCAGGAGGCAGCCGATCGGTGATATTTCTATCTCTATCCTTCTCCCTTCTTCTCTCTAAAAATAAATAAATTCCTGGCCGGTTTGGCTCAGTGGATGGAGCCTTGGCCTGCAGACTGAAAGGTCCCGGGTTCGATTCCGGCCAACGGCATGTACCTTGATGGCGGGCACATCCCCAGTGGGAGGTGTGCAGGAGGCAGTTGATCGATGACTCTCTCTCATTGACTCTATCCATCTCTGACTCTATCCATCTCTCTTCCTCTCTATAAAAAAATCAATAAAATATATTTTAAAATGAAATAAAAATCAATTAAAAAAACATATTTAGCTCAACCGGTTTGGCTCGGTGGTGGAGCATCAGTCTGCGGACTGAGGGGTCTCGGGTTCGATTCTGGTCAAGGGCATGTACGTTGGTTGTGGGCACATCCCCAGTGGGGGGTGTGCAAGAGGCTGCTGGTCAATGTTTCTCTCTCATCGACGTTTCTGGCTCTCTATCTCTCTCCCTTCCTCTCTGTAAAAAATCAATAAAATACCCACTGAGCCAAACCGGTTTCGGCTAAAATCAATAAAATATATATATATATCATGTATATATATCATATATATGATATATATCATATATATATGATATATATATATTTTAAAAAAGAAAAGGAAGTCCATTGGAGAAAAGCGAGGGTTCAGGGAGATGAGTTTCTCGTTGGCTGAGCTGCCGGGGAAGCTGATTTCTTGTCGGAGTTG